ATTATAGTATGGTTTCAGGATAGGAAAATTAAACCATCATTACGAGTCAAATAATCTAGTATGATTAGTTTGATATACTTTATACATAGTATGGATTCCCGAGTTGTATGAGTAATGGAGGATTAGATGTATCAGAATATTTTCTTATTTATAAAATTTTATTCTGAGGTTTTCTTATAATGGATTATCGTTTGAGTTTTCTTTCAGCAATTTTATTTATTCCTATTTATCATATTTGTATATTGTGTTCGATTATTACCGATTCGTTTTGACATCCTCGGGTATTCGGACTTGGGCCTGGTCAACCCGCATTCGGAAATCCAGGGGTATCACAGTTAATCCATTCCGTTATATATGAATAGGTAGGACTTAATGTTTTTAGTTAATCCGTCTCTAATATGCCACCATCCTATACTAGTGCATATAATGCATATGATCCATAAATGATGCAACATCCAAAGTAATACATCAAATAAATCCACAGTTGATGCAATAATTTAAATACATCAAAAATCCAGAAATAAACATAATAAGATCAGGCCAAATATATGACCATATTATTTTGCTAATGTATGATTAAAATCATATAACATCCATATTAATTGCTAAGTTATTTTTAAGAAATTAAACAATACATCAATTAATCAGAGATAAGTATAATCAAAATCAAATAATTAACTGAGCACATTATACTGCTAATACACAATTAAAATCATACAACATCCATTTAAATTGTTAGAATAATTTTCAACAATTAAAACATCCATTAACAAAATGCAAATTTAATTAAAATTTCATATTGTTCCAGTTATTAGCATAAGAGTATAAGTTATGCTTTTAGGGATTTTAACAAATCCATTATAATTATTTAAATGCCCATGATCATCCAAAACAACCCTGGAAACCCAAAATCCAACAACAGTATAAAAAATAGTCATCCCGTAAAAGTCCCAGCATGAGGGCATGCTCCCAAAACAAGGGAGCAAGCTCTATCCTGTTGGGAGCTAGCTCCCTCCAAGTGAGAGTTGGCCCTGTCCATGAGGGAACTGGCTCCCTCCAAGTGGGAGCCAGCTCTCTCCCTAAGAGCCGTGTTAAAAACCATTTGGGATCCGACTCTATGCCCTTGGGAGCCGGCTCTCAACCTGCTACCTCCTTTCTTCTTCGTCTCCGGCATTCTCCGATGATTCTAATCATCTTCCTTAAGGTTCCTAACCTTCTGTTCTTAATCCCAGATGATCCCAATAAACTTATAAAGTTCATACACATCCTAAACACGAATTAAAACTAAGTTCGAAACAATAAATTTTAAGATCAACAAAGAATACATATAAACCCATATAAACATATATATTCCATTTTAATTCAGTTTAAGCATGCATATAAGGTTAATTTATTATCTGATTAATCCCTGGAATTAACTAGGCATGTATAAAACACAGACATAAGGGAAAGAGTAAGAATAAGAACTTGCCTCTAGGTTTTGAATTGAAACCTTAACCTCTTCGTTCTAGCTTTTTCGGCGATCCTTGGCCGCCGTCGAAGCCTCCTACTACTCTGGTTCCAACCCCCAAACAGCCCTCAATCTTCCTCTTTGGTCTGGCCTTAAGTCCTTAGCCGAAACCCTAGTTTCTTTCTCTTTGTGTTTTTCGTATTCTCTCTCTCTCTCTGTGTATATATCACGTAATATCTATATCCTTCTCTCACAGAGTTATACTAGTATATATATATATATATATATATATATATATATATATATATATATATAACATATAACCCTAATCCTAGTTTAACCCTAAGTCTGCCTTAAGGAAAAAGAAAAAAAATAAATAATACAACTAATATAGTAATAATAATACTGCCATATAATATCGCGTATTTACATATATGTATATCCATATATAAATATAATTATATATATATATATATATATTAATATACTAATACCCATGGGTCATAATCCTTACCCATTAATGTCCATCCAAGTAGTCCATATGACCCATTTATTTGGTCATTACTACTATTCAAATCCACGTCCTTTAATTTAAATAAAATTAAATAAACAACATAAACAATTAAAACATATCACTACCACATAATTACAAACCAAAACACAATTAAGTCACATAGATCACATCACACAAATACACGCAATTTAATTCATATCAACAATTAATTCAAATAACACAGACAAATAGACAATTAATCAAGTAACACTTAAATCAATTAAACACATAAGTAATTAGCCAAATAATCAATTAAACAATTAAAAATGTAATTAAAACAAATAAATAAATACCGAGACTATCCTTTAAAAATTAGGGGTATTACATCATAAGGGATACCTAGTGAATGGCAAAGGAATGAGCAAAAGCGAGGAAGAAAAATTTCACAAGGACACTCGCTCTTATGTTTTTTATATTTAACATATAAGGGGACTGAACACTCGCCAAAGATGGTTGGGATGGGGAAATCCCAGGATGATGGGGCTTGCTAGGCCCCACTCACCCCTATGAGGCCTTTCTTCCAACCCTTTTCAGAGCCAAGCTTATTTGTATAGATCGGTCGATTGACTAGAGGAACGAGATGATAATACATATCCTCCTGCCTGATCTTACAGATCCTATAACACAAGAGAAGATCAATGAGGTCAAGGTTAATTTCCCTATCATGATTCATAAACAAAAGGACTGACAAGACCCTAAAGAAATTGGGGTTTACTTGCAAGGGGCAAAGGTTTAATTTATTGAATACAAAGAAAAGAAGGGGTGAAGGGGGAACCTAATTAAATTTAGGTGAAGTGGAGAAAACAGGATCTCCCTTTCAAGAAAACCCTCACCAGTCTTCGCGTTTAGATTCCTAAGATAACGCCTAATGAGAACATCATTGGGGATTTCATACTTTTCACGGATGGACTCTAATCCATTCACTATGGCAACAACAGAAGAGTCACTCGGGAAAAATTAAAAGATAAGAGAAAGAGCTTCCCAAATAACAAGAGAGATTGAAAACCTTAAGGAATGAATTCAAAGAGGTCACCACAGAAAGCTGAGAAGAAAAGGTCTCTTTGGAGGACTCGTCGGAGAAAGATTTCCTCGCTGATAGGTAAAAACAGAAAGATTGGATGCTTGAATGAGAGATGTGAAAGACAGAAGAAAATCTCCAAGGTGCAGGTCAATGGCTTTATAGAGGACCGTCATGCTGGCCGAAGTGTCATAGCGCAATGATGAAGCTTCAAGTTTTCAAACTTAAAGTTTGGATCTCTGTGCAAACCATTCGTATTCCCATGTCATTGCTTTGAGCCGTCACATTAATAATGACGTCCCATCATTAATCTCACCCTCATAAATGAGAGAGAAATTAAGGGGCAAATGAAGGAGCATAAAATCCCACCGGGCCAAGTCCGGCCCGGCCCGCCAATTCAGAAGGAAGCCCAGTGATCTCCCAACCCATTCTCTTTCATGTGAGGCCTGTTCTAACCTAGGAGTCAACCCAATCGAAGGATGAGGCCTATTTTATCTTAGGGTTTAGAAAGGCCCAAAGAGTGGTTAAGGCAAGGAGAAACTTTTATAAATAGAAGAATGAACAAAAATGTAAAGGATTCGATTGAAGTGTGATACATTACTTTTTGAATATAAAGCGCAATTTATTGCATCTTCACTAACTAACGAAACAAGGTTGTTCCATTTCAATTGTTCAACTTAAATAATTTTTCTAATAATTGTTTGCCTCAAATCCTGAAAATATTATGCAAAGAAAGATTTTCACGTGTTTGATTTCTAAATAACAAATTTTGCCTTTCTTTGCTTTTCTTTTTACCCATCCCTTCTCTGTAGCGCTACAGACAAATTTCATTTAAAAATGTGGTAATTATCATTATTGGGCAAAGTATATTTTAATGGTGAGGTGTCCAAAGAATTGAAATATTTACCTAAAGCAGGGATATATGTTAGTTTGTGTGAAGTGAATAAATGAAAAAAAATTAGAATATTTACCTAAAGTATATTTCAATTTTAAAAAATGCTAGACCCATATGTTTTCTTCACATGCAAGTTATGGATTTATTATCAAATCATTTATTTAGTATGAAAAAATGGTTGGGAACATTAGACTTTGAAAATATCATCTGATTGAAGAGACTTACTAGTTTGGGGCTGAAATTTTTAAGATTTATAGGCTTATAGCCGGTATATGGTTTGAAAATTTTATGTAATTAAATGCACGAATTGATTACAGAGTCAAATTTTGTTTTACTTAATTTCACTGAAAATTTAATTAATTTTGATTTTTCGAAGTTGGCTTGTGGCTGGCTGTGGGATTGTTTTATTTAGCAAAATTTCCACTACTGATTTGGTTATAATTATTGACCAGTTTAACGACGTTTTTGAATGATATATATTTGTCTTTTAATAAAATGTGTTTGAGTAAATTATTATATTTTTCCCTACTCATTGTTTGTTCTCATTAATTGTTCAGTTCTTTTTTCTAGAAAGTACTGACATTTTTTTTCTTTCAATTGTTCAAATAAATAAACGGGACAGTAGCTTAGTGGTATCAGTCCCTTACTTCTCAAAGGGAGGTTAGGAGTTTAAATTTCAAAAAAGACAAGTGTGTGTAAGTACCAACTAAAAAAAAAAAAAAAATTCATAAAGTATTAGTAAAAAGAAATTTCCAAAATATTATTATACAAATTCAAAATGATAGTATCCATAAACATTATGAAAAAACAGAAAGAGATGGTCAAAACAAATCACTAAAAATTACTAACAAAAATTAAAAGAATCGAGCCCCGACGTGATCAAAAAAGTGTGTGTGTGTTTGCTTTACCATCTGAAGAACAGATCTTCACATATCAAAACGAGTTGGTCTAACTGCACAGAAAAAAAAATATATCAATATATAGATTCAATACTAGCTGTCCAAAAAAAGAATATAACAAAATAATGACATGAATCGTGTAAACCAGAGAATCATATATCATTACCTCTTACGGTACCCTTTAATCAAGAGGGTGGTAAAAGTAAACTATCCACCAATGAAACTGCATTGGTGTTATCTATCCAAAGCTCTCTTCCAAATTCCGGATATATATACGAGTGGGTGTCTTCATTAGGATAACAGCCCGCCAATTCTTTATGTTCTTCATCAACCATCATCACAATTTGACCTTTCTCCGTAACACAAAAATGTGCGGTGGACCAAAAATTTAGATATGGGCAATTAATCCTCAACTGAGTCCAGGAATTCATCTCACCATGTTCCATCATCACCCATACCTCACCGCATCGCCATTGGTGTTCTCCATAAACACGGCGTCTATAAAATAAACCAAGGCATCCTTTCACATCCATCAAACTAATACAACGTCTATCCCTTTCTATACAAATTGGTAGTGACACTTCCTTGAACTTGTCATTCACTGCATCGAAGAAAAAAATTGCACCTGTTTCTGTGTAGAAACTGGCAGAGGTCATGTCGACAGAGGACATGACTTGTAAGTGAAACACGCCGCTCACATTAATACTATTTCGACCTAAATCAGGAAAAGAAGAGAACCCTCTAACCTGTGTCCAAGCTTTTTTCTTAAAATAGTAAACAACATAAAGAGTTACTCCATTGTAAGGATAAGGTTTACGGATGAGAACCACCTTGTAATCATCAATGGAAGAATCATAACATAGTCCACCAAATATATAATCAATAGGAGATGATAACTGTTTGTATGCTCTAGTGGATGGATTCCACAATATACACGTTTTGCCATAGTCACACGGATCCAATAGTACTAAACCATTACAAGAACCGAGGGTTTCAACTTTCGGTATTTCTTCAGTAAAAAATACAGGTTTTCTTCGGATTTATTGGAAATTTCAGAGTAAAAACAGGATGGATAGAACTCCTGGTAAAAAAAGGTTTGGCGTTCCAATTTAATGGATTGGTTTAGGTGAGTTTTGATGAATTCGGGTTCAGAGACTAAAAGACGCCATGATTTACAAACGCACCTGAATCGCAACACAGACCTGAATCGCAACACAGACTTTACAGGTAGTCTTGAGAGTATATTGTATATGATGTCAAACGGAAGAGTAGGTGTAATGTGGCCGCCTTCTATAGCTGCCTTCTTTTGGTTTTTCCTTCTCCCTATTCTCAGATACTTGACGGCCGGTAGTCTGGAGGGGCAGCCTTCTATTGCTTCCTGTCGTTGCTTCTCCATTCTCTTGCACTGAGAGAGAGGGTTTCTGTTGAGAGGGTTTAGGTTCTGTGACCGAAACTCAAAACACACCACACAATTGATTGAAGCCTAATGGGAGTAAAATTAGGACTGGGACGGGTATAATGAACCATATAAACTACTATTACCTATTTCTTACCAAATTTAGATAATTTTCCTCTATCGCCATGAGTCCTTGGCAAATCTTTTCTAATAAAAATTTAAGGGCATTGCTTAGGTACTCATTGGTGAATAACTTCACCCTACTCATCTCTTAAAGTGTTCCAATAACAAAATAACATATCAGTTTTAATAAAAAAAATCAATAAAATAATAAATAAAATAGATAAATAAAAGAAAAAGAAAGTCGGATCCACCCATTTTAATTGGTATCACCCTTTCTCTTTTCTCTCTTCTCTTTCATTGAATCCCAACCAAAGCCCTCCTCTCTCCACTGTTCTTTTTCACCCTCTCGCTTCACAAAATCAATTGACAAAAATTAATTGTCAAAATTGCCGGGGATGTTGCAATTTCACGGCAGGGGGTTTGTAAGTGAGAGCAATGATTCGGTGGCGAACAACTTCTCCCTGTCGGTGGATAGCAAAATTGGCTTATGTGATTATTCTTGGCAAATCAAATGAAAAGTTATGTGATTGTTCTTGGCTAATCCTTATTCTGACACCTAAGATCATATAACTCACACCAAGGAACCTCAAAGCGAATGACCAGGTTTGCTTTACGAATTAGATCCCCAAAGGCAGAGAAGAAGAGGTATAAGCTTGCGCCGGAGAATCGGTATCTGACGACCTTTGAAGATGGGTTTAAGGTGTTGCATTGGCTGACAAAATAGGCGAATTTGTATATATATATATAGGATTTTTCTTCTAAGGGCTAGGGTTTACACAAATCGGAGAAATTGTTGTGGTGATTGAGTGGGTGCAGAAGATTGCACAATAAATCAATGCCACAAGTGATTTTGATTGACTCTTTAGGGTTAAAGTTGGACTCAATGTAGCCACAATTTCACATGGCCTGTTGTCTTGTTTCAGTCCTGTTTCTTTTTACACTTCTATAAACAGATTTAAGTTATCCTATAAACAGATTTAAGCTATTCTTTTGGTTTAGTTTAATTTTGTCAATTAATTTTGTGAAGTAATGAAAAAGAGAAATAAAAAGAGAAAGGGTGAAGAAGAAGAAGAACAGAGAAGGGTGTGGGTTGGGATTCAATGAAAGAGGAGAGAAAAAAGAGAAAAGGTGATTACCCAATTAAAACGAGTCGATCCGACTTTCTTCTGTTTTTTACTATTTTTCTAATTATTTTTATTAAACTGGATGTGTTATTTTGTTATTGGAACACCTAAGGGTGAGTAGCTTCTCACCTGTGAATAGCTAAGCATTGTTCAAAATTTAAAATATAATTTTTTTTTTTTTTTTTTTTTTTTTTGCTATATCTATAAAAAGGAATGATATGAATTTTGGTTATTTTTCTCAAACACCATTTTATCCAAACCTCTTTACTACTCTCAAATATAGCATTAATGAATTTTGAAAAAAATAAAATTAATGACCCTTATAATGAGACATTCCAAATATAAAAACACATAAGGGGAAAATATAAATGTGTTAGAATTAAAATATTAACGACCAATATTTACATTCCAAATATAAAAACACATAAGGGGAAAATATAAATGTGTTAGAATTAAAATATTAACGACCAATATTTACATTTTTGTATACATAAACATTAACCAAAATTTGCACGAATGATATGAATTTTCAGTTGTTTTTCTTTTTTCTTTCTTTTTTTATTATTTTTTTATTTTTGGAGAAATCTTTATTACTATCAATATGTACAGGATGATATGTTGGGTTTTATTTCAATAATTCATGTAGAAATCAAGTATACTATAATTAATTAAAGAGTAATTTAGATATCATACTTGTTTGATAATTAAACCACATAGTACCTTTAGAATATCCATGCAATCATCTCTGAGTTCCTGCAAAGCATTAGAGTGTTTTACCCCCTTCTGAAAGTGGTCCTTCGATAGGATTGAATAAGGGTTTTAAAACCCTTATATAATAACAACAGGAGGAGACAGATTCTCTACAAATAAACATACATAAGTCTTCCTTCCTATCATGGAAACTTAGATACAAATGGTTAGAAATAAATCATACCAAATAAGTTAGAAAACAACAATCCAACCGTATAAAATCATACTCCTAATTAGACCACCAAATTGGAAAGTACAACCCAATACATCAAGTATCAATAATTACATTGCAATCCTATTTTAGAAAACGTAGTGCATAGGACCATAAATAATTTTTATTATTTATATATATAAAAATTTCCAACAATCTCCCACTTGGTCTATGCACTCCAAGTTTTATAAAAAAAAAAAAAAAAATGACATTATGGATTGCAACAAATTTTAGAAAAGACGAGTGACCACTCAATTTGTTTTATAAAAATAAAATTATCGAAATAGATGAATTGATACTTTAGAACACTCTCCTCCATAGACTTCCTCAATAGTGGATCATGAATACATAGACAAGTAATATATTAGTCTAAACAGTTCCTTGATCTCAAAATTGATTCCATCTAGGATTCAAGCAAATGTAGTGGTTTTTACTGTATTTCATGAGATATGCAAACTGTATATGGTCTAAACGCACACTTCACTATCCTTCCTGTTTCATACCATCGCGGTATATCATCTGAACATATAACAGCAAACTGCTAACCTTCTATTTAGTGTGAGGGTTTAACGATATGGAGCCAATCCCATATCTAGCCGAAGCTATCCTCATAGAGTGTGAAATACTCCCACAAGCAAATTTTAAGATTTATGTTTGGATTTACTAATGTGGTGTCAATCTCACATCTAGTCCAAACAACCTCATGAGTGAAATACCACTCCCAGACAAATCTTATATTTGGATTTACCGATATGGTGTCAATCTCATATCTAACCCAAACAACCTCATGAGTGAAATACTGTAACGACCCACTCCACCACATGGTATGATATTGTCCGCTTTGGGCCTGAGCCCGCACGGTTTTACTCTTGAGCTTCATCCCAAAAGGCCTCATACCAATTGGAGATGATGCACTTACATATAAGCACTTCACCTTTCCTCTACCCAGGCGCTGTGGGACTTGTGCACCCGTAACTCGCCAGTGTGGTAGCCTGACAGTGTCTCTTGCACCCGCCCACGGCACACCCGCCCACAAGGTCATCACAATCCACCCCCCTTGGAGGCCTGACGTCCCCGTCGGCACACTTCCGGCTGGGTCTGGCTCTGATACCATTTGTAACGACCCACTCCACCACATGGTATGATATTGTCCGCTCTGGGCCTGAGCCTGCACGGTTTTGCTCTTGAGCTTCACCACAAAAGGCCTCATACCAATTGGAGGTGACACACTTATATATAAGCACTTCACCTTTCCTCTACCCAAACGATGTGGGACTGTGCACCCATAGCTCGCCAGTGTGGTAACCAGACAGTGTCTCTCGCACCCGCCCACGGCACACCCGCCCACAAAATCATCACAATCCACCACCCTTGGAGGCCCGACGTCCCCGTCGGCACACTTCCGGCTGGGTCAGGCTCTGATACCATTTGTAACGACCCACTCCACCACATGGTATGATATTGTCCGCTTCGGGCCTGAGCCCGCACGGTTTTGCTCTTGGGCTTCACCCCAAAAGGCCTCATACCAATTGGAGGTGACACTTACATATAAGCACTTCACCTTTCCTCTACCCAGGCGATGTGGGACTGTGCACCCGTAGCTCGCCAGTGTGGTAGCCTAACAGTGTCTCTCGCACCCGCCCACGGCACACCCGCCCACAGGGTTATCACAATCCACCCCCCTTGGAGGCCCGACATCCCCGTTGGCACATTTCCGGCTGGGTCAGGCTCTGATACCATTTGTAACGACCCACTCCACCACATGGTATGATATTGTCCGCTTTGGGCCTGAGCTCGCACGGTTTTGCTCTTGGGCTTCACCCCAAAAGGCCTCATACCAATTGGAGATGATGCACTTACATATAAGCACTTCACATTTCCTCTACCCAGGCGATGTGGGACTTATGCACCCGTAGCTCGCCAGTGTGGTAGCCTGACAGTGTCTATCGCACCCGCCTACAGCACACCCGCCCACAAGGTCATCACAATCCATCCCCCTTGGAGGCCCGACGTCCCCGTCGGCACACTTCTGGCTGGGTCAGACTCTGATACCATTTCCAACGACCCATTCCACCACATGGTATGATATTGTCCGCTTTAAGCCTGAGCCCGCACGGTTTTACTCTTAAGCTTCACCGCAAAAGGCCTCATACCAATTGGAGATGACACACTTACATATAAGCACTTCACCTTTCCTCTACCCAGGCGATGTGGGACTGTGCACCCGTAGCTCGCCAGTGTGGTAGCCTAACAGTGTCTCTCGCACCCGCCCACGGCACACCCGCCCACAGGGTCATCACAATCCACCCCCCTTGGAGGCCCGACGTCCCCGTCGGCACACTTCTGGCTGGGTCAGTCTCTTATACCATTTGTAACGACCCACTCCACCACATAATATGATATTGTCCGCTTTGGGCTTGAGCCCGCACGGTTTTACTCTTGAGCTTCACCCCAAAAGGCCTCATACCAATTGGAGATGACACACTTACATATAAGCACTTCACCTTTCCTCTACCCAGACGATGTGGGACTGTGCACCCGTAGCTCGCCAGTGTGGTAGCCTAACAGTGTCTCTCGCACCCACCCACGGCACACCCGCCCACAGGGTCATCAAAATTAATGTGATACCCCCTGATTTCGGAACACGGGTTGATCAAGTCCGCGCACAAAATCAGGGGATATCAAACCAATTAAAGTATTTAAACAAGCACAGATTACAAAATGGAATACGAATAAAATAAAATGCTGAAGAAAACTAATTAATAGTAAATCCATTAATAACTCCCAAATGG